TGCACTGAACGACGACAAAAAATACCTTGAACGGCTCTTGATTAGAAAAAAAAATTGACTAACCATTGAAAATGTATTAGTCTTCTATCATCGAAAATTTCATTTATTCTGAAAACGAAAATACTCATGTTCTTAACATTATTTCTACTACAAATTTCTAGTTTGTTTTTAGAATTATTAATGACGTTTTAAAAATGTCTTCAATAAAGGTTTTTAGGGGAATATTCTTAGAAAAAAATAAAAGCTTTTAAACCTTCTTTTCATCCTTGATTTTCGAATCGGTTCGGTTTCAAAAAAAAAACATGAACCGATCCCATTACTGTTTTCGATTCGAAAATTTCATTCTGAGTATCAAAGTACAGTGCGATCGGGTTAGGATTCAGGTCCGAAAATTTAAGGCTCGACAGGCTCTACTTATGAGAAGTATATTTTAGTGTCTAATTGCTTTTGAGTCGGGACTATGTACAGGATATAGGTTCTATGAACTAAGAATATCCTGAAAAGAGTTCGAACGGCCGAAATACTATATCTTTCAGCAGAACGCCGTGTCTCCTTCCATCAGGAATACTAAGAAAAATGAGATTCGAATTTTGACTTGAAACTTTGCACAGAGACAGACCTTGACGAGAATAGTTTAATGCCAAAGTTTCAACTATGCCGATTACTTCTATCCTAAGATACGACTGTCGCAAAAGTATGTGTTTGAAATCGTTCATATAAAACGGCAAATTTCCATGTTCTCATTTCAGAACAAGCACAGTCGAAAAATCTGAACCTTTAACAATAAGCTATTCTCGTCAAGAGCTGTCTCTGTTCAAAGTTTTATGTTAAAATTCCAAAGCCAGTTTTTCTCCAGTCCCTGATGGAAGGACACGTTGTTTTGCTAAACAATGCGGTATCTCGACACTAATGAGCTATTAACCCGAACTCTTCTCAGGATATTCATAGCACATTAGAACCTATATGATGCCCATAATCTCATCTCAATAGCAACTTGACACGTAGAAATGTTCCCTTCTTAATTTCTAGAATTCAAACCATTTTACGATTAAGGACACATATTTTGTATAAATAAAAATGTGTATAGAAGTTAGTGTTTCTACTAAAAACAAAATTGTTGTTATTTCCGAGAGCGGAAAATAAATTGACCGTTTATTGTAAAAAAAAATTAACAATGGTTTTATGTTTGATTACTTATTCACTATTATAACAGGCATTTTTATTATTATAAATGTAGAAATGCCAAAAAACTAATCTGAAAATGCATAGTAAAATATCCATAAAATAACCTACGTACTTCAGCAGCACGTTTTGGTGTTTTCAGAAGTCCTATGAAAAATGAAAAGAAGTTCAAATTATAATGTATGTAATTGAAGAAATTTTACCTTCTCTTAATGGATCTTCGCCAATACTCTCTAAAATAACTTCATAACTTCGACTTATTGTTTGAATACGTTGATCACGTATTAATGTTGTATCATCTTCACGTAAAGCTTTTTCATCAAGTAGACTTAGTTTACGATTTCCATATATACTTCGATCATTATCGCCATTTTCTATTAGGGACATTGCAGATGATTTAATTGAACGTACTGTTGAATTTGTCGTATCGTCTAAAGATTAGAAAAAAAAATCAAATTAAGAAAATCGAATGATATATTTTATATATGCATAAAACTAAAATTTTTTGCATGATAATTTTTGATAACGTTTCATTTTTGTTATTGATTTAGGTGAAGATGGTTGAAAGAACACATAATCTTTATTAGTTGGAGAATCAATAAATATATCATCGTCTGACTGTGACGTCATTTATTTCATAAATATTTAAGTGAGCTAATAGTCGACTGTGACTTTTCTAACGATCTAATTTATCACAGTTGCTTTTCATTCTCTATTTTCTTTGACATTTTTGTTTCATTCTTTCTCGTTCTTTCTCTGTGTCTGTCGATTTTTTTCCTTCAATGATTTTCCTTAGAACAATGAAGACGGAAACCGTAATGATAATAAGACAAATCGAAAACTGTCAGTAGACGATGTCAACAAGCCTTATAGTGACTGTGAAAACATTAAAATTTATGCTCTCTCCTCCCATTTTTCTTTTGTTAATCAATAGACAAGTATATGGAAATAATCGTCAGACACAATGAAGAGTCATAATTATTTTAATAAATTATAGCATACAAGAACCAATACCTTCACTGAAATGCATTGTGCTTATAGTGTCGACAGTTCTATGATATTTTTTTCAATACTACTAATAATACGCTAAGCTTGCAATTTTATTCTTTAATGATAAGAATAAAAGACAAGGCAACAGAAGGAGCCAGATGGTACCATATTAACTAAGAAATAAATATAGCTCACATGACTATTTACCTCACTTATGTATTTAATGAGAACGAACTAGATTTTTTGTTTTTTTATTTCTACGAATGGTACATCTAATGAAAAATTGATTATTCGATTTTTATATTTTTTGTTATTGTTCAATCATACATTCTTTTTTTTCTTTGTTTAATTCCATTTGATTTCATCTTTTGAAAGGTTTTAGTATTCTTGTCATTATTTTCTTTTTTTTTTGTTTTTGTTGAAATGTTATATAATTTTTTTCTTTCATTTGTCCTTTCAGAATTCTCTTTTTATTACTTTTTGGTTACTTTTACTCAGTTTCTACATCAATTCTATTGTTGGTATATTCGTCTAAAATATTTAAGAATACAATGGCAACAACAACATCGACAAAATCAACTGATCAGTACAATGATAAAAGGTCCTATGTTGCCAGAGACCTTATCTGGTAATTTAATTAAACCGTATTCATTTGTTATTTATATATTACATTGAAATTTTCTACAGGAAAGATCATATATCAAAAATTGAAACAGCACAAAGATTTTATGATAAACGATGGGGTTTTCTTAATGAAGCACAACTTCAAGTATACGTTCATTTTTTTCTTTTGCTGACATTTCTCTTAATTAATTATCAATTGAATATTTGATAGACTTCACCATACGATCCCAAACGATCATCAGGAGCTTTACTTTCAAGTGTTCCATCTCCTTTAACAATCAATGGTACATCACATCATGAAGACGTGACAATTAGTCCATCTCCAAGACCAATTCCATTAACAACAAATAGACTAATTGGTTGGCGAACAGCAGATAAAAATTGTACTTTGGAAAAATATGGCAAATATGCTCGTGGACAAGAATCATTACATAAAAAATTCAAATGGCCTGTAGAAGGCTTTGATTAAATAAAACAATATTTCTATCCATATAAAATATAGCGTTATCAATTATTAAATTTTTAATGTTTTTATTGGGTAGAATCCTAAATAAAAAAAAGTAACAACAACAACACAAAAGAACAATCCTACAAAAACAAAATTCATTTTTTTTTCTTTTCTAGTCCAATTTATCGAGGAATAATTATGAATACATTACAATTTTTTTCTTTTTTCTCTCTTACTACGTCATCACTTGTTCTTCGTGATGTTGCCGCTCACTACTCTTTTCCTATTCTGTATATATATATATATATATATAAGTGGATTCGATACCCATGTCACCCAACAACACAAGCAGATCTAAGGATAGACAGAAAAGAAGAAAAAGTCTTTTTGAATCGAATAATAGTAACATCATTGCCGACGACATTGTAATGGATGATGTAGATTCGAAGACAGAAACAGAGAAGTAAAAGATGAATTGAAGCACAGCAAAGCGGTTTTATCACTATCAAATATGTTTCACACAATTTCTTTCTCTGTCTCTCTCACTCTCTTCCGATCTGATCGACCGGAAGCTTCCTAAAGAAATCATTCCATTGGCATTTTAACGTGCTTCTTTCTTTTTTCCTAGAAGACTATACATTAACTGTAACAAAGACTAAGAAAATCAACGGCAAATCATATTGATTATTTTTATGAGCGATCGAGGTGTGTCAAAATTTCTATTTTAACTTTCTTTAGATAAAGCAATTTATTCATCGAAAAAACTCGTAAGTTGATTAAATACGATATGAAATAAAAAGAATAAGAACAAAGTAGATTTACAAACCTACGAAACAGACTTATAAACTGACACATGTCAACCATAGCCTTTGAGTTGCTTTGTATTCTTTTGTGTAAGATGGTTTCATTTTGTTTTTATTAAGAGCACATATAGCCCTCGATTGACCTTTTTCTAGTTGAAAATTTCTTGATTTGTTTCATTCAAACTTAGTATTCAACTGTGAATGACTTAAAAATTGATTTTTTTTCTCGCTATTATCTAGGGGTATTCTCAGCAAGAATATTTATGAAACAAAAAAAGATCTCAATGCTTGTTTTTTTTTCCTATAGTTCCATTAGATCGATGCCTTCATATATTCTTGTCTTGTTTTGATCGATGTCGTGTCGCTTACACTAAAAGTACAAGACCAGAAAAGTGTTTTCTCAGATTTGTTTTTTTTGCCGGCGTATATAATGATATTGAGCGCAGATATATACATATATATAAAATTGATATATGAATTTTTTTGTCATCATCCATTTTTCTGCTAGAGTCGCATCTTTTTTTTTCATTGGAACTATCAGAGAAGAATCATGCATAAGCACATGCACTCATACTAACAGTTATATTATTGCTAGTAGAATGTGCCGAAGAAGTAAAGAAGAGTAGGATAGTTCTTTACTCAAATGACAGTGAAATAAAAGCAAGCTAGAAAGAAAGATACTATCGAGTTGTCGGCGACAGACATAGGAATAGTAATTGCAAGAGATGAAGAATGAAAAAAAAGAATGATGTTGAAAGGAAAACGAGATGAATGTTGTTATGAGCGAAGATATATGTTTCCATTTCTTCAAATAGACATATCAGTTTTAGTTGATTCCCTTGATAAAAAATACATGCTATTATCACTATAGTGGTTTGTTTTTTTTCCTTGTTTTCTAGGTGTAAATTGGTTTTACTCACGTTTACTAATTTGTGTATAATTTACATATCATTATGGCTTCATTCATCATGAAACAAATGATGGGCTCGCAGTTAGATAAAGTTAAAGGTATAATTTTCAAAAAAGACATAGATTTATATTTGATATCAAATATTTATATTTATTATTGAGTTAAGCATTTCTACAACAAGAAGGATTAGAGTTGATTGACCGGTCGACTGAAATAAATATGTTTTCAATAATTCTTCTTCATTCATTCGCTTCATCTAGTTTTTCCATCTATCTGCTTCTTAAATATACTCAAATTCACAACAGAATTGAAGACAGGAAACGAGTAACGCGACAAACAACCTCGAATTCATATTTTTTCCTTGACTGCTTGTCTATCTACTAGTTACTCATCAACGACACTCATTGAAATACTAGTTGTTGTAATAGTCGACGTGATAGTATTATACTTAAGACTACATGTTCTCTATGTAACTCGGGAGCTGATTCGATGATGTTCACATCCGAATGAATTAACAATGTCATTGAGCTTCTAAAGAGGAATGAGAAAATAGAGAAAAAAAACCAAGGATGAGGAAAGACGTTGATAGAGAGAAAGATAGATTAGTTGGTTAATATTATGAGAAAAAAAAAGAAGGAAAAAACTCGTTCAGTTTACGATCGACTCATATATAACAGACATGAGCAATAAGGCTGATAGTAAAAGTGAGTTGCCTCGTGAATTATTATTTTTTTAATTGATCAATGATTTTTTTTTTGACATTATAGAATTAGCCGGCGGCGACGGAGAGAAAAAGGATGGTGGTAATGGTAGTGGTGGTGGTGGTGATGATGAAGAAGATCCAGAGGTACAAAAAGTTATCAATGTGATATTATATATATATATTTTTTTCTCAGTCGTTGGCTATTATTATTAGTACTATGATTATGATTTTAAAATCTATTGAAAAATTAATATTACTTTCTCTATGTAACAAATAGGAAAAAGCTGAAACAGAAGTCCGTTCAACTTTATTTTAATTTGTTTTCATTTTTATTCACAAGTAAATTACAATTGAAAGCTTTTGATGAGTTATTTCTGCTTGGTTGAATCATTTATGATTTTTACAGCCAGCTCTCATCACGGCAGCATTCACACATGTAATCTTCGTCAATAGTTTTTCTGTTCTCGCAAAAATAAAAGAATGAATCTTCAATTTTCTAATCGACAAGTTAACAAATTACATTGATTTCCTACAAGCTAAGATGAAGCTCGCCTATATTTCCCTTATTCTTTTTTATTAGTTTCCCGTCCTCTTCATCTTATCTTAATTGTCTTTTCTTTCTCTCGTAACTTTTTTTAAAACGAAGCTTCAATGAATAGCATTCTCTGTAGGCTCTTTTTTTTCTAATATAAACACATTTTATATAGCCTCGCACTCATTCATCATCGTCAATAGCGTACACCTACAATTTCTAATACTTTCTTTTCTTTTATTCTTCTTGTCTTTTCAAATATTCATTTTACATTGATAAAACAAAAACTATTCTTTTATTAAACAAGAAAAACTATGGACAAACTCAGTGTTAATACATTGTTTCTATCAGCTGCCTCACCAATACAAACTCGACGTTTTTCCCTTGTACCACCATTTACTAAGTCTACACCTTCGTCACCAATCACTACACCAACAAATTCTCGTCGTAAGAGTATGATTGAATCACCAACGGTGAGTTTATTATAATTAGGTAACTTGATAATGACAACAATGAAAAGACTTATCTTCTTTTTTTTTTCTGAACTATTACCTCTTAAAGAGATTGATAAGATTTATTAAAGTATTAAAAAACTGATGAAGTCGTTTTTTATTGGTTATTTTAGGTTGCTGAAGCTCGACGTGAAGCAGACGAAAAACGTAACGCTAAATATGCAAAAATGGAACGACAACGAGAAGAAGTTCGACAAAATATTAGAGAAAAAGTAAAATTAGAAAATCTTTTTTTAGTTTAAACTGAGTTGTTCTATTTCATTAATATCTTTATTAGATATGAATAACAAAAGCGTTTGATTTATCATTTAAAGTTAACCTTTGAGATATACCGATTTAATAGAAGTTTGCACTCTTTTATCTAGAATTGTCACGAAATGATTGTGACACGCTACATTTTTTTTTGTTTCTTTTTCTCAACTTTGATTATGAGAATTTTCCATGCTAGAATGATTTCGATTTATAATTGTACTTGAAAAAATTTTAATAGATATTTTCAATTAGTGAAACCTTATCGCTTGTCTACTGTATCTCTATAAGTATCTTCATAAAAAATCTTACATGATATTTTTTCGTTGAATGTCTTTATATAATTTATCTATTAATAATAATAATCAATCTTTTATGTTGCTTATTGTTTTCTTTTTATAGTATAATATTAAGAAAAAGGAGGAATCAGCTCCACTACCATGTGAAGGACGTTTAACAGCCGATAAAAAAGGTCCAATTCCTTTACCAGATGATGATGATAGTATGTTTCTTGGTTTTATCATTTTGTTTAAACTATTTTATTTTCATCTTTATTCTTTAGGTTTTGATCCAATTAAAATGGCAACAGAGGCATTAAATACTATCACTGAAAAATTACCGTTTAAATTGCCTTGGAAATGAATCAAAATCAAAAATAAACTGAGTCATGCCCGTCAGATACAATCACGATTTCTATTTCATATAATCTTCCGAACCGGTCATAAAAAAACTAAAATTTAGAAATTTTCGATGGGCATTTGATATGTATGCAGACATATTTATTTCTATACCTATATATCTACATTTATTTTTTTTTTGTCGTTTAATGAGTACCTGCTCATATATATACATTGGTTTTGTTCTGTCTAAACAAAAAAAAATAGTTCTAATAAATCAAATCATTGAACTCTGTTTCAATATCCAATCTGTAGTATTTCGTATATATGATTTAATATAATTAAATTGATTACCATCCGAAAATAGAACTATGAATCCAATCGTAATAGCTGCAAGTATTAATAATATAAGTAGATTTCTTAATAAAACAGGAATTTGTGTAGTAAAAAATGTAATAATACGCATAGGTAATGTAACAAAAAAAGTAAATAGACGTGTAACTAATGTCATTGCTCGATAAATTGGATAAGTGATACGATGAATTCGATTAATGAGTAAAATAGAAGTTTGATAGATTGTGTAAAATGGAAAACAAATTGTGAATATAAGATGAATCATATAACGTATACAAAAAGGTAATGATGATAACATATTATTAAATGTTGCTATTGAATAATGTATTAGATTCAAAAATTGAAAGATTCCACGTGTTAAGTTATATAAGAAACGTCCGAGTTCAACAAATCGATTCGATGATGTTTGCCGAGCATATGAATATCGAACGAATCTAAGATATTATTATATAGCAATAATTGAAAAATCACTAAGATATTTCATTTTATTTTCATGAGTATTTCTTATGTTCAATAAACGAGTTCTACATTATCTATCAATCAGAGCTGTCGATAGTTTTTACTAAATGGCTAGAGCAAAGAAATTGACAGACAGTTAATCTAGTAAAAAAGATTTAAGAAAAACTATCTGTTCAAATTCTGCAGAGAGTTTTTTGACAACAGCTCAATACAATTGTACTTGCAACATAAAAAAAGGTCAGTATAGTCTTCGTCGAAATTCGATAATTTGCATTTTGAAGATGTCACTGCTGGTAACGTGACTATCGGCAATTCCTGTTTTTGACCATCTTCATTTCAATGATCGAACCTATCAGCCACATTCTAAGATGATGTCTGCAGCATATATATATTAATATATGTTAAATAGTCAGAAAAAGTGGGCATAAAAAACGATTGTCGAAACGACACCCACAAACATGGATGATCCAAAAGCGTTCAGCAATCTCATTTTCAAGGATGAAGTGCACAATTGTCAAAAATGGAGGGGGGTTGGACTAGCTCACCCTAGCTTTTCCCACATCGAGACTTATGCTGACAATTTCATAATATATATATAAAGTAAACCATCCGTTTATGCCTACTATTGAAAATGTACACTAGACATGGTTAAGATCGCTCGTTCATGTCTAAAATCGATACGAATTGGTTAAGTTTATGCTGTAAATTGTTTTATATATTGTTCTCAAAATGTACATGGTGATTTAAATGAACTAAAATTTGAATTTTTTTTTGACGAGGAAACTACTCCAATTGATAAATTTTTTCTGAGTGTAGACTATGCGTAGTATGTAGATTCAAATGAACTATCAATATCTTGATAAGTATTCGAGTTCTTGATTTATTGCTGCGAAGATACTGAATTGTCATGGTATTCTTTTTTCAAATAAATACCGTCGTCACTCTCAGGACTACCACAAAAAAAACTAATTTTAATATTTCAACTTGAAACTTTGCACAATGACAGGCTTTAAGAAGAGTACTTTATTGTGAAAATTTAAAGTCTTTTAATTTGCTTCTATCCTGAAGTAAGAATCTCAAGTCTGCCAGTTTATATGTACAAGACATGAGTCATGCTCTTACCATAGTTGTATTTTAGGGTAGTAACAGCGATCAGATGTGAAACATTCACATAAACTATTCTTGTTAGGGCTTGTCTCTATGCAAAGTTTAAAGTCTAAATTTGAAAATCAGTTCTTCTGTTGTTCCCACATTCAGTTAAAAAGATCGTATAAGTGCAGCACCTCTGTAAGAATACCTTAAAAGTATTTATAGTTCATATGGATTCACATAATGCATATGGTCTCAAATCAAAAGAAATTTTTCAATAAGAAGACTTTGCTCTTAATATTGTTTAACTAATATACGACTGTCGAAGTTTATTATGACTTACATTTCTCTTTTCATGTGTGTACAAAACTTGTATTAGATTGGAGTTAATCGAATATCAAATTCAATGAATGCCAAATTTAGCATTGGCATATGCGTTTCATAAAGCTTTCAAATAGATCAATGTCACAAGACTAATAGAATTATTTTACAATTAAATATTATTTCTCATTATTTTTTGAATTCTAATACAAGAAAAAAGGAAAAGACTTATTTCATACTCGGCATCAATTATCATATCAAGATTTTTTATAATGTTCAGAAGAATGAATTGAAATGATAAGAAATTGATTGATAAAACGAATGTTACCTTCCACTCTGATTTGGAACATAGCTAACGTGTTCTTCAGACATTTTTGTTTTAAAAGAATACTAAATATTTTCTTCTTTGTTATTATTATTATTATTATTTTATGTTCATTTTTTTCATAGGATTAAAAAAGAACCATTGATTAATTCATTTTTGAAATATAAGATATTTATCAATGTGTGACATCTATTGGATGATTTTTTATAACTCGAAAGTATGTTAACCATCCATTCTTTCTGTTTCTCTCTTGACGAACGAAGAGGAAGACTATAAAGATTAGGATGTCAATTTTTGTCTTTATCAATTTTGCTTGTTGACTCCAATTTATTTGCTTTTTGTCATTTTTTTTATTGTTTCTTTTTTTAGATATTTTTTATGATTTTAACTCAATCCAAAATGGCCAATGCTGATGAAGAAACACGCTGGATACATTCAGATACAGACCTTTTATCTGGTCATGGCGTCACTTATAATGTCATTGTAATAACGTTATTTATATTTTATTGGTTATTGAAATTTTTTTTTTAAGTATCTTGGTTCTGTTGAAGTACTATGTTCGATGAAATCACTTGATTTTGATAGTCGTACACGAGTTGCTCGTGACTCTATACGTTTAGTATGCACTGCAGCCGGTGTCACACTTCGAGAACGACGTAAAGTAACTAGATAATATTTTGTTTATAATAATTTTTGAATTAAAACATATTTTAATTAGCCTGGTGCATTTTCGAATGATCAATCAATGATTGCAACACAAGCGAATTTAACACATAGTCATACACCTGTTGAACTAATAATTAGTACTGATGCACTTGTACTTAAACGTAAAAATGATTCTCAAATACTTTGTTCACATAGAATGGAAGGAATTTCATTTGCAAGTGCTGGTGAACATGTATGAATATATATATATGTGTATTTATTGTATTTGATTTATGATTTGTTGTTTTTTTTTTATTTTAGGATACAAAAGATTATATAGCTTATGTAGCGAAAGATAATATGAATAAACGGGCATGTCACGTACTTTCATGCGAAGCAAATGAGTCATTAGATGTTATAACAACTATTGGACAAGCTTTTGAACTACGATATAATGAATATATGCAAACACAACGACAAACCAATGAACAACATGGGTATACAAGACTAAATTTCAAGGTCATGTTTTTTTTATTTGAATTTTTGTGTTTAGATCGTTTAAATCATCTGATCATGATCGACAACTTTCACGAGTAAAATTTCACTTTTTTTGTTTGGTTTTTGAGAACACTCGAAAAATTACATTTTTTTTTGTTATAGAAACAAGATGAAAATCAAAATCGTTTTCTTTCGAACAATATCAATGATCAGCAACAAGAAATACAGGGTATATATATATAGATTTTCTATTTATATGTAAATGGTTATTGATGAGTAGTAGTGTAGACATACTCTTCTTATGTCAAGCTGTATAGTTCATGGTCATTGTCAGATAAGTATTTGCTATCATGGACAAAAATAGTTACATATTTGGTATATGACATTCAAATGTGTTGAAAGAATAATGAACACGTCCCATTAAGCTTCTCCTATTGCAGACAATCTATTGTTTCTCAATTGCTTTTTCAATAACCACTGCATATATATATATATATATATATATATATATATAGAAAAATTATTTGATATATATATATAAAAATTTATAGAAAAGTTATTTAAATAATATGCATAAAATTAAAAAAAAAAAAATAATCATTTGAATAAGTGACTACGAGCCTTTTTATTACAATATATATGCAAATTATTGAATTGTTATATCAAGTTTCGTTCGAAAGATAAATGTTATTATTCTTATGAATGACAGTTGAGTGTTTTTTAATTAAATTTTATTTTTTTAGGTAGATGGAATACTGTGAAAGATTCAGATGTTTACAAAGAAAATTGGTTTCATGGAAAGATTAGTCGAGAAGAGGTAATATAATTCTTAAAGAAAAAAAAAATTAAAATTAAAAGATTCAGTATTTATGCAATGACTATTAAGAAAATATGTGACAGATGAGATTGGAAAAGATTTCATATATGTATAAAACAAAAATATTTGTTGTTTAGTAATATGATTTAGTTCTATTTTAAATTTTACTTGATAATACAGAGACATTTGCATTGTTATTCTATATATTTATATAAATCTAGATCAATCATTTCAGTGTCTTGATCTGTCAGTTTCCGACAGAAAAAATTATAACAACTTGAAAGTCGAATTATTCAAATTCCGGGAAGAGCCAGCCATTGGATTTCTACTGTTTACTTGAGGTTTTTAGTTGAAAACAACTCGCACTTTTTGATCTGAACAATAATAAGTAGATTAATTTTGTTCGGTTCAATGGAATATATACACTGCTGAGGCATAGCGATGTTGAATGATTAATGAAATTTTCCAAAAAAAAAGAATTTCTTTGAAAGTATTTATTCACATGAGCAGGTGACCGATGTGACCATTCTAAAAATTAAAGATGCATTGCACCACGTGTATGTGTCTTATAATTATGATATAAGAGTACGATGAATGGTTATAAGCCCTAATAAAATGAAATGTTAAACTTGTTGAGTAAGCAGTGTAACTGATGTTACATGCCAAATAATTATTCTTGATGAATTTTTGGATTGAATTTTTAATTAATCTACTTTTTATTTCTATCTGTTTTGCTGATTAGATTAAAATTATCAGAATGAAAACAAAATACATGACAAAACTTGACAAAAAAATGCGATCACAATTGATTCAAACAAAAGAAAATAGATATGATACCTTAAAATGACTTCAAAAGAAAACACCTTTATTTCGAATTAGCAGCAAATGAGTTAGAGCGATCAGAAAAAAAACTGAAACATACACACTAAAAGAATTGTTTGTTTGGTTTCTTTTAACCAGTCAAAAACCATTAAAAACTAATAATCTCTGTTTGACCTCATGGGTAGGACTCAAAATATAGATAAAAATCTTGAAAGGCCTCGTCCCATTGAGCCTATCCTTTTCAAGTTATAATCATTTTACCCAATATCCAGTCTATTGTAAAATATCCCGAGAAAAGTCTCAAGAAGTTTTTACTTGAAAT